CGACTGGTTGATTCCATCAACCTTATATCCTATACTTAAAAATTCAACGTACTTAATGGCAAATATGCCGCAGTCACCACTGTAATTGAACAAGAATGAATCAGTTCAGTACTGTGTAAATAAAAACTAAATCTGAAAGATGAAAACAACAAAGTTCAAACACTTACCTTACGGACTGTCGCGTTGTCGTCGTGTTTCGAACGATCCGCAATCTGTCCTATACATTTATCCCCGCTCGTCTGGCCATCATAGGAACAATTACAGCCACGGACTACAGGTTTTGCTCCAACTGGCCTTGTGTCAAACATGAATGATTTAGGTCGTACACATATATAATCGAGTCAGCAAAAACGATCTCCAGCCTAACATAGTGTTTATTGATGCACGCTGGAATGTACATATGTGTACAACCCTCCCATGATTTTTTCTCGACACTCGGTAACAGTCCTGTCACCCACTCGAGCATATATTCTGGCACCGTGTACTCGTTACCCATAAGTTCGAGCGATTGATACTCTATGGTAACGGTACATAGGAACTCGGTATTTAATATGACTCGACCATGGACATCAAATGATTTTGGATATCTTTGAGCTCGATCTCGTAGCAAGTCCATGGTCAGGTCAATGTGCTGCAGCAGGAAACACCAAAAAAGTATGAGTTATTGATTTAATAAACACAAGGTCACATATACATAAAAAACACGAAATGAATAGTTCACTTACATCGTCAGCGAGCCAAGCTCCCGCAGTGGTGATATCGTGGAACCACTTGTAAGGGTCCGAGACCGTCCTTTGACCTATCGTGTGGCTAACTCTGTAAAAAATAGGGAAATGTTTTATAAGCGTAGATGAGTTAGCGTACAGTGCTTTATTAAAATCATACAATACTTACCCAAGGATAATTCTCCTCCACTCTGTCTCGAACGCTTTCCACTTGGCATTGTCCACCTCTCTGAAGAAGTTCGGGTACGTCCCATCGATGAACGTCCTCCTCTTGACCTCAGCCGTGAAAGGGGAAATAACATACTGTAACGACACTCTCAACCTCTTGTCGACCACTTGCTCCGTCTCGTCAACAGCATGTCTCTTACCCTCAATCACGCCGGGCGTCCTCTCGACCTCCAGGGCCACCTCCTCCTCCTCTCCCATCGGGGTCTCCCCCTCCGTCGCCACCACCTCCGCCCCTCCCGTCGGGGCCTCCCCCTCCGTCGCCACCTCCTTTGTCCCTCTCGTCAAGGCCACCCCCTCCATAGACAATCACAATGACTCCAATGTCTCATCACGCCAAAAATGTAGGTGACCCCCCTCTCCTTCACTATCTCTGCCACCCTCTCGATCATGATCTCCGCCATCCCCTCTGTCCCCCCATCGTCTGCCGACTAAATCTCCTCTAAGCGCCGCTACTGTATCCTAAAGGTCGACAACAGAAGACTGTAGTATTCCAACATCATGGGATAGATCGTCAACCCTCCCTGTCAACTCTCGTCCCATATCGTCCACCCTCCCTGTCAGATAGTCGACCTTCCCTGCCAGATCGTCGACCCTCCATGTCAACTCTCATCCCAGATCATCGACCCTCTCCGTCAAATCTCGTCGTAGCACGCCGACCTCCTTCACTATAAATCCAATTAAACGGACATACAAATCATCACTGTGCCCCGGAGACACACGGGGGAGGTGTCTGGACGGAGGTGATGCCAATGGCGACGGTGATGGCCCCGGCGGAGGTGATGCCACTAGCGGCGGTGATGCCCTCGATGGAGGTAATGCCAATGGCGGGGACGATACTCTCGACAGAGGTGATGCCAATGATGGCGGCGATGCCCTCGGCGAAGGTGATCGTCGATTAGTTGGACCGCCCTCCTACATAAATAAAATGAAAAATTATTCAATAAATTTATACGTCGATGATATTCAATAAATTATATTTCATTCACATACCCAATCTCGGTCCAAGTTCGGATCAGACATCTTCTCGTCTGGGGTGTGCGGAACGCCTAAATCCCGCACAAGACCCCGAGCCACCTCTTCCATTGGCGGCGTCAACTCAGGTATGATTTCAAACTGATATATTGACATTTCAACTACTTAATGATCATGTAAACAAAATTTTAAACTACGTATAATATAAATCACAAATGCATAATACTTACCCAAGGATCGTCGAGGAGGGCCGATAACTGCTCGCTGCGCAAAGCGGGCCCCCAATGATGCATCTGAGGGTAACGTGTCTCCCCTCGCTGAGCAAAGCGGGCCCCCAATACAGGAACTGTCTCATACACTCAAATCTGTAACACATATACTTATTAAGCATCAATGTAATACACTAAAACTTTAACTTTAATTATATTAAACATTTACCTGCACCGCTAAGGACAATCTATATGTATCGTATTTACGCATCGACCCCCTGGGCCTCGAGTGCGATCTGGTGAACACGTGTACGGTGTCTTCGTAGCATTTTCGGCCCCATGGATAGTTGTTGAACGCATCGATGTCGTCAACAACTTGCAAATGAAAAATGTCGATGGCAGTTTTCTTGTGATGACACCTCATCACACTCTCGAGATGTAGACCAGCCCAAGTTTTAATCTATCTAGCATATGGTCGCACCCCCTGATCGCGACCATCAAGTCAAGTAGAAGCACCCCATGTCCCTGAAAGTACGTCTCGTACAGCCTATTGCTTCTCTCCATGGCTGCATCGTCACCCGTAATTCTCAGTCCAGTGATCAATGTAAACTCAAATATCGAGAAACTGACGACCTTGCCCCCGAGGTCGAATTGGAGGGAATCACCGTTGATTGGCCTCAGAAGCCGACATAGAAGTGCATCAATGATCTGTCCTAAGTACTGCACCTCTCGCAACTGGTATAGTGGCCACAAGAAGGACTGTCGTAGCATATCTCCGTGCTAATCATCGAGCAACTCCAACACAGCAGTAAAACTCTTAAAACTACTGTTCCAAGTAGCTTTCCCCCGCATCCGTCTCAACTCTGCATCTAAATGATACTCCATCCTACAAAAATTCAAATGTTATAGCATTGAATAAGAGATAACAAAAGAAAGCATAATCTCACAAAATCAAGGGAACCGAACTCTAACTACCATACAATCACAAATATTGCATTTGAAAAATATATTTACAAAAAATAACAAATCAAATTAAATGTATTGTCAAAAAAATTAAAGAATATAAATATTATTTAAATAAATTGGAAAAAAATCAAAGATTTTCATAAAAGAACAATAAAAGGAACAAAACAAATTGTTAATTTTAGAATATTTCAATTATTAAATTATATAAAAGACAAATATAAAAATTAAATAAATAATTACTTTACATTTTCAAAAAATGTAAAGTCCATTTATATTATTTAAATAAATTTGAAAAAATAAATTAAAGATTATTTCATAAAAAAAAAGGAACAACACAAAATTGTTAATTTTAGAATATTTCAATTATTAAATTATATAAAAGACAAATATAAAAATTAAATAAATAATTACTTTACATTTTCAAAAAATGTAAAGTCCATTTATATTATTTAAATAAATTTGAAAAAATAAATTAAAGATTATTTCATAAAAAAAAAAGGAACAATACAAAATTGTTAATTTTAAAATATTTCAATTATTAAATTATATAAAAGACAAATATTAAAATTAAATGAATAATTACTTTACCTTTTTTTAAAATGTAAAGACTATTCATATTATTTAAATAAATTTGAAAAAATAAATTAAAGATAATTTCATAAAAAAAAAAAGAATCAACATTGTTAATTTTACAATATTTCAATTATTATATTATATTGACAATGATAAAAATTAAATAAATAAATAGCATAATTACTATTTAATCAAATAAAAAATTTAATTAATTACAAAAATTATAAAAAAAAAAAATAAAAATTAAATATATATAATAGTCTTGGCACCGACTGTCAACGGCAGGCAGCCGAAAATCGCCATTCCAGGCGACTGAGCTCCAAAAAAAGCAAAAAATTCACATTTTTCACACTCCCAGCATGCCCACAATCTAACTACTCATGCCCATGGATCTAATTAAACCGAATAATGTAAGGAAAATGCTAATTTTACTTATTCTAACCGATTATTTTATTTTTCGTGTAGATGATGGTCGTTGACTGCGATGTTGGTGTAGTTGCCGATGGTTGATCGGTTAAATTTCCGGCTACTGTTCGTCGGTCGGTCAGAATTTTTCAAACAGTCTGAAGGGTAAAATTGCCTATTACTGTGAATTTTTTTTTAATTTAATTTGTTTTTTTTAATTCATTTAATGGGTCAAAAGCCAATGTCAAATTTTGCTACAGTGAAAGAGCTATTTTCGTGTATTTCCTCCAAAGTAAGGCTAGAGAGAGGCGAAAAGCCTGTTCACGGCAAAGAAAGTGAGATATGGAAAGGCAAAAAATTTGCAGCAGAGAATGGCATGAAAATTAGTGAAATTTTGAGAATTAGGTATAGAATTGTTATAGATTTTGGGTATTTATATTTAAGGCTTGAAATCTTTTAAAATCTATTCAAATCCATCATATTATTGAAATCCTTCCAAATCAAGTAAGTGATGAGGATACCTAATTTCTCAAAAAACTATTGAGATCTAAGTTGAGGACACCTAAATTTTTAAGTATTTCTTAAAATTCAAATTGAGAACACCTAAATTCTAGTGAATTATATATTAATTTGAGTTGAAGACACGTCAATTTACATAAAGTTTTAAGAGGACAACCCTCTTATTTTCATCCTACATCGTGATGCACAATCAGGAAAAATAGCATTATTCATACCAAGTACTCGGGATTAAATAATAAAATGACACATGTATGTCACGTATGAGAATACCGATAAGTTTCACTATGAATGAATTATTTCAAAAATAATTGATAATTTTTTTTCTGTAGCATGCCCTCGGAACTTATGCAATTTACATAATTTTGCTGTAAACATCTATAAAACCCATTGATATCCATGGTAGGAACCCACAAAACCTGTAAACAAAAAAAAAAAAAGCAAAAAGTAAAACGCCTCCTTCCTCTTCTTCCACAGTCTCTCTCTCTCTCTCTGCTTCTTCACCTTCTAGAGGGGGAGAGAATGGGAGCGAGCGAGTGCTGATACACACGTCGCCGCATTATAGAACCAGACCCTTCTTTTAATCTCTCCTTTTCAAATTTCAACTCTCATTCCATTTCTTGATTGATTGATTCTCCCTTTTCACTTTCTCACTGATGAAACTTCTTCGCTTACCTCCCAGGGTATTCCATTGGAGAGAAATCACAAAAAAAGCGAAGATCAATTTCTACTAGGTGTTTCAGAGTAAACTATAAATTTCCCCAATTCTCTTCAAATTAGAGAAGAAGAAAAAATATGCTGTGGATTATGAGATTCTCTGGCTTTTTCTCCGCGGCAATGATGATGATTGTACTCTTTCCTACTCTGCAATCCTTCCCTCCGATTGAATCCTCCCTCAAATTCTCCTTTCGAAAGGCTCCACCATTTCGCAATGCCGATCAATGTAATTACCCAACATTTGGAAAATTAGGCGTTTGCGATCCCTCTGTTGTACATGTTGCGATTACCCTTGACGTTGAATACTTACGGGGTTCGATCGCTGCTGTTCATTCGATTCTGCTGCATTCAAAATGTCCAGAAAATGTCTTCTTTCATTTTCTTGTTTCGGAGACCACTCTCGAAACCCTAGTCCGATCCATCTTCCCCAAATTGAATTTCGAATCCTATTATTTCGATCCGGAGAAGGTTCGCGGATTGATCTCCAGTTCTGTTAGACACGAACTAGAACAGCCGTTGAATTACGCGAGAAATTACTTGGCGGATCTTCTGGAGCCTTGTGTCAGGCGGGTGATTTACTTGGATTCGGATCTTGTACTGGTTGATGATATTACGAAGCTTTGGAGTACAAGCTTGGGGAAGAAGACGATCGGAGCACCCGAATATTGCCATACAAACTTCACTAAATACTTCACCGGATATTTCTGGTCGAAACCGCGATTTTCCGGCTTGTTTTCGCGGCGGAACACCTGTTATTTCAACACCGGAGTTATGGTTATAGATCTAAGTAAATGGCGGCGCTTCGGATACACGCGGCGGATAGAGAAGTGGATGGAGATACAGAAGACAAGCCCAAGCAGAATTTACGAGCTCGGCTCGCTGCCACCGTTCTTGCTGGTTTTCGCTGGACACGTAGCCGCTATCGAGCATCGTTGGAATCAACATGGCTTGGGAGGCGATAATGTGAGAGGAAGTTGCCGTGACCTGCATGCCGGTCCTGTGAGTCTGCTGCATTGGAGCGGTTCCGGTAAGCCGTGGCTCCGGCTCGACTCCAAGCAGCCGTGCCCCCTGGACTCGTTGTGGGCCCCTTACGATTTGTATGGACACGGCTCCTATTTTTTTCTTCTGTGATTATACTATTACAAATTACTGTCGCGATTAGAGTGCCTCAGGCCACATGTATGTATGTATTATTTGTACACTAAAATATTCTGAAAATAAAATGGAATGATTCTTTTCTTGCCATCTAACTATTTATTCTGTTTCTTGGCCGTCCTCTTTGAATACAATGCCGCTAGATTATTAGATTAAACAGAATGCTTGCATACTGAATTGCCTTTCATTTATGTTTTAATTTGGTGGTTAGCGTCAGATATCTACCTGGGTTTGGGGGTTACTGGCTAGTGATGGACACGGGACGGGAGGCTATGGATTTATTGGTGGTTTGGTGGCGGATGTCCCTGCTGCTGTCGATGGTTAGGCAGAGAAGGATATTGTTAGTGTAAGGGGGTAAATTCCATATCGACTAATTATCGAAATATAGACTAACGGTAACATTTACTTTTTTAAATAGGATTGAATCTTTAAGATAGAATTCAAGTCTTAGCTCCCGTTTGGCTCCATTAATTCCTCATTTTCGACTTTTGTGGCCCCCTTGTTTGATTCACTCACATTTGTAGGCAATAACAGCAATTTGCGTTTCTGTACAGATTTTGACAAAGCAGATATAATTTTTGAATTTTTAATTGTTTTGTTCACTGTAACTTAACGAGATATGAAGAAAAATCTCATTAAAATGAGATCCAAACAGGGGCAATAGGCGGCTTTAAATCTCCTAACTTATATTAGATGGATGTTTTATTTACAATTACTTTTTCGTGTCTAATTTAGCCTTTGAGGGGCTTGCTTTTTTTTTTTTTTGCAAACTAGTTGATAGTTTTTATTTGTAAAGTTGACTAAAACTTGGCATAAAAGACAGTATTCCTACTCCAATTTTAATAGAGAGAATCATAAAAAAATTATCTGATTTTGACAGCAGGCTGATTTTAATTTTGGTCTTTGATTAAATGCTAATTTGAGTCTAGAACATGTTTCTAGTAGAAAATGTTTCGTATGAATTAAATTGGAAACAAAAAACGCAAATCCACAAAGTTATAGTAGAACACATAATTATATCCCTTTTTTTTTTTTTTTTTTTTAGACAATAACTTCTATACACTAATATTGGGTCTCATACATTTGTAGTTTAAATAGAAGTTAGGTATAGTGAGAAGTTATGAGCTAATACGTTCATGCACAACTTCCATACCAAGGTTGGCGTGGCTAATAATCAACTACGGATTGGTTCGAGGTTATGCAAGATTATACACAAAAGATCCTCTTTTGACTCTCTCTCTCTTTAGCCATATCTCTTATTCTAAGGAGGTTCCTCCATGTGCAGATTTTTTTTATTTTTTATTTTTCGAAAAACTCTATCTATGCCACTATATGTATTTTATTTATTTTTTTTTTTTTTTTTTCACGTCTTACATGCAAAATCTCTACGCCTTGCCTCAAATGTCGATTTGAGGTCGAGAAAATAAATATAATTTATCACTATGCTCCACACATTCCAACAGAGAACTGGGAGAGCGGGTAGGGTTATTCAAGTGGCCATATCACATTATCACTGTTGATATGTGCAGCTATTGCTGTCCATTTAAAGTGTGATAAAAAAGCAGCAGTTCTTTAGGTCCATTGCGTGGCATTGAGCTGCCCCTTTTTCTGATCCCACATGAATGTGGTGACTAAATCTTGTTTACCTAACTTCTTGATTGTAAGTTTGCAACTGAGTCAGGAATCAATGATGGCATAAAGTGAACTAGATTTTAGTTATAGAACTTAAAAGATGCCAATAAATTTGAGGAAGAAATTAGAGTCTCAGTGGACTGAAATTGCTGTAAACAAACAAAATCATCAGAAAACTATTACTGAGCCTTGCACCGCATGTATAATGTGTCAAGTCAATATATTTTCAGTTTTGTTCATATATGGGACACAATTATAGTATGAAAGATTCATATGAACACATGAATGAAGAAAAGAATTCATAGGCCACATGACACTGTATTTCTAAATCAACAAATGAACAAGAAAAGAAATTGACTAGCATGTGCAAGTAAGCACAGAATGAATCACCAGAATCAACGAATCAACTACAAATGAAGTTAACTAATTCTTAAAACGAGGGTACTGGACGAATATTATAACAGAATCTTACATAGAAAGCCAACGTTTACATAGAATGTTTTGTTGGCTGTAACTATAGGGACAATGGTGCCTGGGAAAGGGCAAAAACAAGACACTTATGGTAGCTCGAATCTCAGATTACCTTGGCTTCCATAAGGAGGGTATATGTACACTGTAAGCAATGAAATGATAATGCAGATGAGTCCCGACCAGAGGAATACTATAGTCGGAATCTTCCCCCGTTTTCCCATCAATCCCTTCGCAAAGGGGTAAAGATGAGAGAGAACCCAAAAGCTGAAGAAAACACCTCCAATAAGTTTGCTCCACTGGGGGAAAGGACTATATACCGTCCTAGAAATAGCCACGCCGATTGCAATCACATTGAACATGATGATTGTGATTGGTGGGATCATCAAAGTTGTCCATCTAAACTCGTATAACTCAGCAAATTCATCATCTCCATCATCCGGTGCAGTAGATTTTGATGTTAATGTGAATGAAATTTCAATCCCAGCTATGACTTTTAACAATCCTTGAACTACAGCTGCAGGGTGTGCACTTGTTCCACCGATCAACCAGAACTGTTCGTTTCGCCACCAGTCGTGGAGGGTGATTCCTGACCACCTGATTTCGAGGACTGCAAGCATGCACAGAGAGAGTGTAATGGCTAATAAGAAAACAAGAAAAGTCACTTCAAGGGATTGGACGATGAACTTTCCAGAGAAGAGTGAAAGTGCAGGCAGAACGCAATAAACAAGGAGGAAGATAGAAGTGAAAGGGTATAATCCAACGTTGAAATATGCCACCCTTTGTAGAAACTTCATTCTTGGACTTGCGAATAAAGCGTTGTTTCGAGAAAAGAAGATCTCAACCGAACCAGTTGCCCATCGAAGGACTTGATTGAGCCTATCTGTCAAATTGATTGGAGCAGTCCCACGAAATGCATCTCTCTTTGTAACACAGTAGATTGATCTCCAACCTCGGTTATGCATCCGATAACCTGTGACAACATCTTCGGTAACTGAACCGTATATCCATCCGACCCTCTTGCCCCACTCGGTTTTATCCTCATAGAAGCATGTTATAACACTGACTGCCTCTGCTAGTGCTGCAGCATCTAAAGGTTCGCGTTGAACAGCAAGAGAACCAGCAGGCCTTCCCAAGCATCCTTTTCCTCGCAACTCGTGGAGGAGCCTTCCCCCGAATTCAGCCACAGCTATCGTGTCAATAAGAGAAGTTGAGTTTCCAAACTGTTTGGCCAGCGAGGCCCTGGTAACATCATCATCGTCATTTTGGTTCCCACTGATTGGCAAAAGCATTTCATCGTCTTCTTGATCTTTTTGCCCCTTTGATTTCCTGAGTAGCTTCCGAATCTTGCGCCTACCGAACCATCCATGATGTTCAGTGGCTCTCGGAGGACTAAACCCGTAGAGAGCGATTCTCCGGAAAATGCAACCTGTCCCTACATACATAGGACCCTGCAAGCCATCAAGTGCTCTCATGCTTACGTCGAAGAACACTGTATTATGGTTTGCATACCTATCATTCGTATCAATGCCCTCAAACCTTTGTGGGAATTGAACATAGCAAATCCTGTCACCACCTCTGTCAAGCATAAAACACATTCCTTCTCTTAATGCCAAAGAATTGTAGATGTAATGGTCACAGTCCAGATTTAGAATGAAAGCACCATTTGACATTATTGCACTTGACCGGACTAAAGCATTCATCGCTCCAGCTTTCTTATTGTGATCGAAACCAGGTCGTTTCTCGCGGGACACATAAACTAACATTGGTAATCTTATATCAACATCAGTTGTGTCAACCAAGTTCTCCTCATTGCTTTCAGTACCAAAAAGTGTTTCTGGACTCGCTGGAACCAACATTATCTGTAAATAAATAGGTTCAGGGATTAAAATGAGATGATTATATCGTGAAAGAAACTAATTTTGAATTAGTTACATTGGTGGAGGAAATAATTACCTGTATAATGCCTTCATGATCACCTTTTGAATGACCTTCTTCTGATGATGACCATGTTCCATGCCAGTGACTCCCATCAGCCATCCAAGTAGCCTTTGGGACCTTTAGGGGCTCGGATGGATTTTCCCCCAGTTCGTGCTGTTTCTTCTTGGCCCGTAACTCGGCCTGAGCATTGTAAGCATCTGATCTTCTCCTAATCGACTCTGGTAGAGCATTTATCCTCACCTTAAATTCATCATATTCTCGCTTAACTCTTCGTCTATCCCTAACAAAATCAAGCCGTACTTTGTTCTTAAGTGGATCACGTTTTTGTGCAAAATATGCCTCAGGATTTCGTGGCTCTATCTTGTGTTTTTTACAGAAAGGAACCCATAGTCTTGCAAAGCTAGCAGCCTCAGCAAGAGCTTCAAATGTTACTAAAGAACCTCCATCATCTGATAGGTAACACGAAATCTTTTCCACTGGATAATCAACAGCAAGGATCGAAAGAATTGTATTTGCTGTCACAAGTGGTGGTTCTTTGTCTGGATCAGCTGTAGAGACAAACACATCAATTCCAGGAAGGTCGGATAATTGTTTTGGGTTCCGAAGATTTGGTTCAGTGGATTCAAACCGCTCTTTCAAGGCTGAGAGGTCGGTCACCCTCTTCACCGGGCAAATTTTTGGCAGTTGATCAAGAACCCAAGACAACGCAAACCACATTTCACAAATAACAGACATCATCCATAACCACATTGCTTCATGATTAGGATGTGAAATCCTCCATGTTAGGAAGCAAACAAGGGCGCCAAGACGAAGAACCATAAGCAATCTGCAAAAAAAATTCATACATCAACATTTGAATATAATAACAAATTTAAAACTTCATTCAAAATGAATTGAGAACCATTTCCAAAATTCTTAATATAGGCGGCTCTGAGTTATATGCGTCGAAATGAAATTCTATGCCTAATGATACTACCCTGCATCATTGTTAGGAAGCAAGAACACAACTTCCTTGATTTTCATTGCAAAAACACAAGCAGCCT